TAAAAGCATAGCAATTTGCAACACAAAAATCATTTCAAGTACCTCAGCCTCGTGCAACCTCGTTTTCCTTTTTCTGCTTAAAAGCCTTTTAAAGTTTGCCCCCCCCCCAAAGTGGAGTGTGTGTGTGTGTGTATGCATGTGTGTGTATGCGCGCGCGCGCGGTAAGTACTGGTGGTTTCGGGCTGTTTCTCCCCTTAAGAAGTTTCAGAGAGCACGGCTGGAGACTAGGGGGGACACTAGAATGCCCTGCCTGCCATCGCGCATTCTCTGTTTCTCACAGCTTGTTTCAGTCTTGCAAAGATTTAGTTTAGGTACAACAACAAATAAGACACTAGACAGCTGTCTGCATAGTCCCCCAATCATCCACCTGGGCCGCGTCCGCGCCCCTGCACCCCTATTCTGTAGCCCAAAGATGCGCCAGGACCCCACAGTGCTACAACCTTTGCGCGCCCTCTAGCGTTAGTATCTAGGATCACCACGAGCTGCTGCATAGCTGGGCTGCCTGCAACCCCGTGATGTGGGAGAGGATGTGGGATGAACCCCGTTGCTGGATGCACCCGATGTGCGGGGTAGACGGAGAGCACCCGGCTCAGGGAGCTCCTGGAGTCGAACGCATGAGGCCGCTGCGACCCCGAGGTGGGAGATGTTAATTTCACGTTTTGGGCATCTCTTTCCTTGCCCGAGGCTCCCCTTTCGAGTTGCCCCCATATCCCAGGAGTAGGTTCTAGGTGAACCACCGCCTGCTTTCTTCCCAGCTCTCAGCTTGCGTTTTCTCCCGGTCTCTGGGAGGTCGCAGTGCTAGGCGGTCCCTGCTCTGCGCACTCCTTTTCTGTCTGCGTCCTCAGCTTGGTGCAGATTTGTCTCTGTCGCCTGTTGGGGAGTCTGGGATATCTCAAATCACTGGACTTCCTTTTCTAAGTGGTCTTGTTCCTGTTCTCCTCTTGCATAACGCCACCTTCTTTGTCCATCCGTGGCCTCCCATGGTAGGGCGCAGGATTTCTGCTTTCTTCTTTGCCTTGTACTTTTCCTTTGCATTCCAACCTTTGGTTTCAGCCTGTCTCTCACGGTTCACGACTAAAACGTGTGGAATGCAGGAAGGAGACACAGGCTAGGGGACCCCGAAGCTGACCATCCAGGGGAGCCCTCTGCAGGCTTCTGTGTCTTTCTCACATTAGTGTAAAGTTTGCTTGGTTTCTGTCCTTTCTAAGACTTTGCAAAGTTTGATTTGAGGAAGATAAAGCGGCGGGCACACCAGCTGAGGGGGTTGGGGGAGACAGATAAAAGTAGGCTGGTGAGACAAGGGGTGGGCGAGGGGCCCCCCCCCCCGAAGACTTGGGGAAGTGAGGCAGCACTCACTGCCCTTTTGGAATAAAATTTGGCAATTCATATCAAGAACTTTTTATATATTATCAGTAATGCCACTTCTTGGAATCCAGCTCAAAGAAATAATATGAAAGGTTAAAAAAATATTTTGGACCCAAAAATGTTAATCATGGGCCTATGAGATAGCTCATCAGCAAAAGGAGAAAGCCTGCTCAGCAAATTGTTCTCTGACCTCCCCAGGACGCCTTCAGACTCACAGACCTGGCCTTTCATAATAATAAACTAATAAACAAATGCAATATTTTTCAACAGAATCAAACTACCGGAACATAAAGGAATCTTGGAAATACAGCATTCCCTAAATGTCGAGCCGCAGTGGAGTGTACGGAACAGAGTCTGCTGCCTTTTCATGTTGCTGCTGCTTCAGGAGTCATGGTTTTAAGAGTGCCAATCCCAGGGGGAGCAGGCCATGGAGTGGTCAGTCTGAAAATGGGACTCAGACCCAGAGCCCATCCTGGTGAGGCTGGATACAGGTACATACAGAAAACGGCTGAACGGTGCTGGTCCTGGCAGCTGGAACAAAGGGTGATTTCGGTGGTGTCTTCTTTCCCAACTTGTCTTCTGCCTTTCTGGAGGGAGCACACTGTTCATTTTCAGATGGCGTGAAACAGCGACCTCTCTGCTCCCTTTGAGAACAGCAAGCCCCTGAGATGAAAGCTGGGGAAGGGATGAAGTCCCAGAAAAGTGATGGAGATAAGGATGTTAGGGACAGAGCGCGGGTTGGGGGAAACTGTCTGCACCCCATGAGCTGCACCCCAGTGCTGGCCTCCATGGAAACTGGCTGCCAGACTGACTGTCACAGGTTCTGCTGGTTTCTTTGTTTAATGTTTACAGCTGCATTTATTTATTTATGGGTGAGGCATCTGATTACTATGGGGTGTCTGTCTGTCTGTCTGTCTGTCTGTCTGTCTGTCAGAGGATAACTTGGAGGAGTCCTGTCCTTCATGTGGGTCCCAGGATTTGAACCCAGGCTGCCAGGCTTAGCAGCAAGCACCTTTATCGACTCTGCCCACCCTGCCAGCCGGAGACTGACTAATTCTTTAATGCTGATAAAACATGAAGATATCTCCTTCTGACCCGGGGTTTTAATCGGAACCAGCCCCGCCCCCCCGTCTCCTGGCCCCTGACCACTTATTTCAACAGTAGTCTCAACTCCTGGCTTCTCTGGCCGTAAAAAAGGCTGTGTGTAGACAGGCACGTCTTAGAGCATGCTCGTTGTCCCACAGCTGGCCCAAAACGCTGGGTGCAAGAATGAGCACCCACTGTGTGCCAGGGCTGTCAATTCCACACATGTGCCAAGGGCATGTCTCCTGCAGGAATCTCACTCCACACCCTCACTCAATCTGTCCTTCGTCTGAGCTGACCCTTCACAATGAAACCGGAAGCTGAGGGACTTCATTTCCCATGACCTCTCACCTTCTACGTCAGAGCTTCTGACCCTGCCTTCCGCTCCTCCATTTGTGGTTGTCCAGCAAGACATTGGACCATGATAGAAATGTCCCTTAATTGTGCTGCCCATTATGACAGACACCCACCACATGTGACCAGTGAGCACTTGAAATGTGTCCAGGGCGACTGAGCAATTGAAGCTGCATTTTAATTAATTTTAATTGACATATCAACATATGGCTAGTAACTGCGGTATTGGACAGCACGGCTCATTCGGAACCTGTCCTTAGCTCTGCCTGTGACTCTGTCACTCACATCTCGCCTTTCTGTGCGTCTGTCACTACCTCTGCCGTCTGAATGTCACTGCCGTGGCACGCCTGAGCAGGCGATGGCTTTCACCAGCTTGTGCCTGCTTGTGAGAGCCCACACAAGCATCTCTTCCAGTTCTTCAGGGACCATATGAGGCCTGTTAGCCCTTGTGGAAGTCTTCACACCCTGGGAATGGGCATGGACAAGCGCGGTGAGAAGTTTCTTCTCCTCGGAGAAGCTCGTGCTGAACACCCAGCAGCAGTGGAGCCAAGACTTGCTGTGAGCAGCTCTAGCAAATGTGTTTTAAATTTTGCTCTCTTGGAACCTCCTTGTGACCCCAGTCTCTCTAGCCCTACTGAGTACCCCCACACCCAGCTTCTCTGCCCCGTCTTAGGTTGGGCCCAGCTCTGTGATCCTGCATCTCTTCTGTTTGATGTCTGTGTTTGTATCTGCCTTCTCTATTAAACTGACAATCCCTGCAGGACATCCTGTGAGGAGTGACTCCGTGGGATCCACTGCACAGTGGGTATTTCACAATCATGTATGTGAGTCAACACAGCACACAGTAGGTGCTCCTTGAGAACATATGGAAGCACAACACATGCATAGGAGTGTATGTCAGCTGGGACTTGAGAGCTGGCTCAACAGTTAAGTGCATAGGCTGCTTTCTTCGAGGACCCAGGTTCGAGTCCCAGCAACTACACAATTTCTTGCAACATTCTGTAACTCCAGTTCCAGGGGGTATGACACCTTCTTCTGGTCTCTCTGGGCATTAGGCACCCATGTGGGTATACTTACATGTAGGCAAAACACTCACACACATAAAATGAAAGCGAAATATTTTTAGAAGAATAAAGTGATTAAAAATAAGAATGTAACTATATAAAAAGCTGGCACAGCACACAGTGGGTATTCCTATAGAACATGTACAGGAAACACAAAGGCTTAGGGGAATGACTGTATGGCTGGAGATCTAAATCTGGACTCCTGACTTCGACTCTTATTCCTGTTCTAATGAGTTGTGTAACATGAGATACATCCCCCTGGGCTCAGTGTCCTTGATTGTTAGTTCCACGGACACTCCAGTTTTCTTTCTGCTCACCTCATGGGGATACCGTAAAAGCAAATAAGATACAGTATGGCTTTTCTCCCCCCTTGTTTGAGACAAGGTTTCTTTCTTTGTGTAACAGTCCAGGCTGTCCTGGAACTCACTTTGTAGACCAGGCTGGCCTCCAACTCACAGAGATCTGCCTTCTGCCACTTGAGTGCTGGGATTAAAGGTGTGCACCACCAACCGACCAGCTGATATAGTACGGCTTTAAAAGGCCATGCCCATAAACAAATTGTTCTCGAAATCTGAAACCCTTTGAGTTCTTTTTGACCTCTGGCCATCCTGTGCATGAGCATCACATGGAGGAAAGCAGACGAAGGGTCTCGACTCTCTAACTGGCTTTCACGGAAACAGGACCAGCTCAGTAGCTAACATGCCAGGCAAGGAGGGTGTAGCTCACTGAGCACCAGCCCAGGGCACAGCTTGGAGGTCCTCACTCTTCCTCCGTAGGGAAGTAGGGGCTGGCTGTGCTGGAGGAGGACCGTTTGTCATGAAGGCAGCCTCCGGGGGGGGGGGGGAGTTACTCTCTCAGATGGGAACTTGTTCCTTCTGACTTTCAGGAAGTTAAGTTTTCTCTTGAAAAACCACAGATCTTTGTCACTTATTTCCCTGCTTGAGAATTTCTTCCAATCTGTGATTCTGAGAGCCGCGGTGGGCATCTGTGGCCTGTGTCAGTTACAGCGTCACCAGGACTGCTCCAGGGGGGTTAATTGCATCTAAGCGTTGGAAAGCGACTCTCTAATTAAACTTTGAAGCGGAATGGCGAAATCACTGGGTGACAGACTGTCTGTGGGAGGGTCCCCTGAGGTGCTCTACGTTTGTCGCTAATCATCTTCTGGGCCCAGGCTGCGCCTGTGTGCGGTGGGGCCCGTGTTTAGACCTCCCTCTCTAGAACTCTGGGTTCCATTGGAGCTTTGTCAGACAGGCCCCCCACAGTGCTCTGTGCCCTGCCTGAACCCCACAGTTGGGCCTGGAGATCTTGGAAAGACTTCCATTGCTTGTCTTCGGCTCTCTGATTTCTATTTAAAACCGAAAGGTTATTTCTATACTTAGAACCATGACATCAAAGAAATTTGAATGTTGGAAGTTAATTCTGGATGTTTGTGAGTATTGCCCAAGAGACCATTGGCACCAGCTATCAAATTCCCTCACACTGAAATCCTCAGGTTTGTTCAGCACCCTAAGCTAGGTCCCTGCCGGACATTTTTGGGGATGCCAGATGAGTTTACAAAACACCCTGCCATGAGGCTCCCTGCAGAGAGGTCGGGCAGGCCAATGGACTTCACATCATCCAGAACCATCCCGTTTGCTTCTCGTCCTTCCTTTCCCATTGCATGGGTGGAGAACATTGAGGTGTCTCCTGATGAGGTGGCTTCTTGAGTCCCTCAAAGCCAGACTTCCCCATGGCAGGGCCTGGGCTTTTTTTGGTCTTTAACCCACTATGAGCATCAGTTTATACTGGCTGCCGTAGAGACCCAGAGGAGATGGGGTTCATTTCTGCTAGGGGCAAAGTTCTCAGAGGAGATGGCCTTCGGGGGCCGTTTGAAAAGGGAGGGCTATTGCTCCCTCATTGCTGCCACTAAGTGCAGAAAGGCAACCTAAGGGAGGCAGACTTACTTTGGCCTACAATTAGAGGGGACACCTTGCATCGTGACAGGGAAAGGCATGTGCGTGTGCATGCATGTGCGTAAATGTGTGTGTGCATGCATGTGCATGTGCATGCATGTGCGTATATGTGTGTGTGCATGCATGTGCATGTGTGTGCTGGAGCATGCATGTGGAGGGCAGAGGACAAACGGAAGGACCAGATCCTCTTCTACCATGTGGGTCGCAGGGCTTGCCCTGCGGGCCTCAGCCTGGACGATGCGTGCCTTTATCCGCAGAGCCATCTCTCTGCCCCCTTATATTTTTCCTTTTGAAAGGATTCCTCTACCCTGCAATGAATGTTTATCAAAGGCTGTATTAGTTGCTCCTCTCTTGCTGTGCTAAAACATGCTCAGAAGCACCTTAAGGAAGAAAGAGTTTATTTTTGCCTGCGGTACCGGAGGGTAAATCCATCATGGAGAGGATGGTGTGTCAGCAGGCCACCAAACTGGCTGATCCCATTTCATTGCGCCGCACCAGGAGCCAGAGAGTGAACTGGAAGTGGGGTAAGACCATACACTCTCCAAGTCCTCCTTCCCCCCAGTAACACGCTTCCTCCAGCAAAGTTCCATATCCCAAAGGTTCCACAACCTTCCTGAACAACGCCACCAGCAGAGAACCAAGGGTTCAAACCCATGAGCCTCTGGGGGCCGTTTCTCTTTTACATTACAAGCACACATCATGTCCCAGGGGCTGGAGATGAGCAGGTCTAGAAGGATGGGAGGTGTCCTCTGAGCATACAAGATGAATGCCGATCTGGTTGAGGACAGTCACTTGTGGCAGAGGATGGCAAAGCAGGTGACTGAGGTGGAGGCTTGTAGACCCTTGAGAAAGGCCAGGGGGAGCCCTTTCTGAGTGGGGAGGTTTGTAGGCAGCTTGAGGTGCAGTCTCACTCCTGTGAACTCTCCTGTCTTAATCTCCAGCCCCCATGATTGCCTCATTGAGACCTCAACACATGTCCTTAGCCGAGGTCACACGGGGTGTCTGAAGAGTCACCCCAGGAATACCACAGAATTGTCTCATGCAATGACTATTGGGGATATAGCGCGTTACTCTGCTCGGTACCACTTATTCAGACGTCCGTATGACAAATGCATGCTAGGGCGCTGGGCCAAGAAAAATTGGTTCTCCTGACATCCGTTTGGATCCCAGCTCCAGAGAAGAACACCACGGCCTGCTGTCCTTGCCTGAAGACTCTGCAGGGAGGGAACTCAGAGATAAGGGTGGGTTGTGAATCTGTAATATTACCTGGAAGATTATGTCATTGCCCTCCCAGCTTGATCTAAGTGAATCTTAGTTGGTGTGTGTGTGTGTGTGTGTGTGTTTTAATCGTAAGCTATTCTTTTGGATAAAGAAAGTCAGGGCAGGGGAGTGGTAAAATCAATCAATATGTGGTTTAGAATAGCGGATGGCAGCGCTAAATAGTTTGTAGCTGTCTCTCAAATGCCATTTGCTAAACTCCGTTCTGTGACACACAAAGCCTCTAGGAGAGGCTCACGGGTGTTCCAAAGGCGAGAAACAATTGAAGCTGATGGTGTGTGTCACCTACATCAGGAAAATAACAAATATCTTTCGAGCGCTAATGACAGGGCATGAGAGGCGGGACAGGAGAACAGGAGCGTGGGCTCTGGAGCCACAGCCCCCAGGTCCCATTTAACCTGAGAAATGACTCAATCTGCCTGTGCATGCACATGTGCATGCATGTGTGCGTTTATGCATGTGTGTATGGGTGTATGCGTGTATGTGTTTGTTCATGTGAGTGAGTGTGCACAAATGTGTGGAGTGTTGTCCACCGGATTTTTTTGTTTGTTTTTGTTTGTTTGTTTTGGAAATAGGCCCTCATTGGACTTTCCTAGTAGGCTAGGCTGGCCAGCAAGCTCCGGGAATCCCCCTGTCCCCTCCCTCCCCCACACACTCAGCAGTATAAGCACACACTGCCATACCCTGCTTTTAACATGAGTGCTGGGGATTGAACTCAGGTCCTCATGATTGCAAGGCAGGCACTTTACGGGCTGAGCCATCTTCTCAGCACACTCGTTTGATCTCTTGAATGGGTTTCTTGTCCATGAAATATCCCTGGTTTAGAAGCTGCCTCTGGGGCTTAGGCCAGTAGCAAGGAGAGGGGAGTCCACAGTTTGGAGTAATGGCCCTTCTCACGTGTTTTTTGTCTCTTTGGCAAAGGGTCCCCCGGACCTGAAGACAGTGGTAGGAAGTCACATGACAGATCACCCTCTTAGGAAGTAGGACCGTCAGCAACAGGCTGTGCTTTCCTCCTATCCACTGCCAAGCTGTGTGCTTCCCGGTTGACAATTGCCTGTCTTTGCTACGCCTTTTATCTTGTAATTTTAACATTTATTGGTGCGATTATTTAGTATTTACTTTTTATGAAGCATATGGATCAAATTTTGATCACTTCTCATAGCAATTAATTCTACTTCGAGAATTTTTTTTTGCCTTCTCTATTCATTTAAATGACACGTGTGAGCCTTTGTTGGCACTCTGACAAACAGTATCGTTTAAATAACACATCATGGTCAAACAAGTTTGGGAAATGCTTCCTGGAGTTATGGTTTAGCTGCGTGTGACCTCTGTGAGAAGGACAGCACCAGTCAGCTTACGTCTTTGAAGTACCACCACCCTTTGCGTGAGAATGAGATCCTGCAAGCCATGGTGGGATTGTGGTTTTGTTCTCAGTGTTATGGGGGCTGAACAGGAAACAGCCACCGGCT